CTATCGTCTTATTTGGGCATGCACGTGACCTGGGATGCGAAGGACAGCGGACGACCTCGCAGGCTCAGGAAAAAAGGGGCCCCACCCATTTTTATGCTAATGAGCAAAATGCTGCAATCTGATTGGTCGAGAGCCTTTTTTAATGATATGCACGGCCTTCTGATTGGTTACCGCCCCTATGAGCGACGTATACTACTCTTAATCGTTGGTCTTTTTTATTTTATTATTATTTTTTCCCATATCTTGCAGATGTCGGCAGAGCTGAAGAATCTCAGAGTCAGAGTGACTATATTAGTAAGATGTGACACTTCCATCTGCATAGTGTGCTGAGCACGTAAACCATGAATAAACAGAAAAAAAAAAGCTTTTTCCTTTTGCCACAAACATAACAGAGACTGGGGTGGATCCATATCGTTCCAAAAATTAACATGAAGAGTCTGCTCACTCGTCAAATCTTCACAAAGGCTTGGATCGGATTTCAGCAGAGCAAATCAAAGATTGACTTTCCTTTCACCGTTTCATTTAATTTGCAAAATGTGTTTTCACAGTATTTTTACAGCATACATAAGTATCATTACTTAAATTTAGCTCTTTTTACGTTTTTATATCCTATGTATAATTCTTGGAAAAACTAAAAAGACATGGTTTATTTCAGATGAACAAGATTGAAGGAAGTATTTCTTCTGCAAATTGCAATAAATCCAACACATCTTCAGACACAAATCAGGTAGCTATTGATAGTTATGATCTGTGGCGAGGCTCCCTTTTAAAATACAATGAAACCTCTTCCCAAGTGTCCGCTTAATAAAGGTTTATAACAATTGCGCAATGTTTGTAAGCAATTAACATTCAACGGTTCCCCTGTACTGTAATAAAGTTCCAGGTTGTTAACAAAGCTATCCAGAGTTCAAGTTCATCAGCTTTCATTACCAACTTTAATTTATTTTGTAATAATGTCCTTTCCATACAGCAACGATAATACGGGTACATTTAATCGACTATTTCAAGGACGTAATCCAATGCCACATTGTCAATTCAGTACGGTTTCCGCTTAATAAAGGTTTCAGCAATAGAAATTAGCCAAATACAATTTATTTTAGTGTCCGCGTACGCTTAATAGAGGTGTCCGCTGAACAGCGGTTCGTAATAAAGGGAAATATAATACGTTAATTTCGGGACCAAGGTAAGTGTCCTCTTAATTGGGGGTCCGCTTAATAGAGGTTTCACAGTGCTCACTATAGTGGAACCTCGATTTAACGAACCTCTATTTAACGAAGTCCTCGATATAACAAACGATATTCTATGTCCCAAAGTAAAAAATGTATGGAATAGAACCTCAATATAACGAATTCTCCGATATAACGAACATAATCCGGAAGCCCAAACGTAAAATCAGATTACCCCGATGTAACGAATGACAATGTCAACACGCGACAGAAAATAAACGCTGAACAGAACAACAGTCAACAAATCCTTGTAATCCTTATGGTAAAGAGACAGCAACCTTTCAGTCAACGGCTTATTATATGTCATAGACATTGGCATTATAGCATTTCGACATCAATTAACTTCTGCTCNTTGTAATCCTTATGGTAAAGAGACAGCAACCTTTCAGTCAACGGCTTATTATATGTCATAGACATTGGCATTATAGCATTTCGACATCAATTAACTTCTGCTCTATTTTCTTTGAAATCCAGAAATGTTGGGTAGTGCAACATAACAACACTAAAGCCCGTTTCCTTGTTTACATAGACAATTTTCTGTATAACCTCTATGTTGCAACATTTTTAAATCGCTACTCTGAAACTGTCGTTCTTTTGTAAACAAAAGCTGCGAAAATACTTTTACTGGAAGCCACCATGCTTAATGAATTCCATCTCAAACGCGGCACTTCTGGGTGACGAAAATTGCATTGAATTGCGTGACAGAAGTCAGCTGTGTTACAAATCAATCATTAACTATGACCTCGATAAAAAGAACGTTTTGCTCGTTTCCCCTCAAATTCGTTATATCGAGGTTTACGATATAACGAACCCTCGATTTAACGATCAAATTTGGCCGGTCCCCAGCGACTTCGTTAAATCGAGGTTCCACTGTAGTTGTTTCAAGATCTGCTGCGAAATTACAACAAGTTTCAGGTTTTCGTCGGAGCGCTGGGCGGCGGGGGGACGGGACTTATATCCGGGATCAGAAATGGTGTTAGAAGGTAATGTGTTTCTTTTCCTTTTTTTTTTTTAGGAAAAGAATGCAACAGAGCTGTGGCTGGCAATACAGACTTCGTCCAAAAGGATCGACAGTCTATCAGCCCTTTTGCCTGCAGTGAACGCAAGTATAAACGAAAAACTAATTGACGTGCAACAAGAAATCGTTCAGCTTGATCGAAGGGTACAGAAAAGAGTTTACCAAAATTGTGCCAAAGTAAGGCAGTAAACTGTTTGCTTGCTTTTCAATACCCATGACGAGCTCGGGTACGAGCTTAGCCCAATCACTGAAATATTGCATTTTCATTAGGAAAAAAAAATGCAGAACAATGGGCCATTCAAATTTTTAAGGGAAGATATAGGTTACAGAAACATCAGTAACTTTTTAACTCGTTCCACGCAGTAATGATATAATGGACTTCGTTAGTGGAAAAAAATACACAACAGCAACATACACCACCAGAAAATTCTCAGTACTTGTAATACAAAAATGCTTGATTTCTTGCCTACTGTTTGCTTGCTTGCTGTTTTGTTTGTGTCCACCTGTGAATCTTGTTAACCCATAAAAGAGGTAAAGCTTTGTGAAATAAATTGTAGTGTGTTTTTACAGTAGAGGTGTTCCATGGAATTTATGTTATTGCAACAAAACTCAAAGGTTGAGCGTAAGAAGTTGGTTTGAGTGTGTACTATTGTACAACGATAATATTGCGGGTTAACGGCTATGAGACGTGGTTGTAGGCATTTAACTAACTTTACCTATAGTCGAAGTTTAGTAATAAATAGAGCATAATATTTCCTGGTATAATTTCAATATACGGAGCCGACGTTGTGCCGTGGTTGCTTTCTCAAGTTTTTCCTTAACAACAAAGCCTAGAGACAAATTGTTATTGGCAGTAACTTGCGCTTCATCAGTTGCCGTTGTCGACCTAATCTAAAAACAAGTTACGCCACCTTTCATGGAACTGCCTGCCTTTCTATTTTGGATTGTTTTTGATTGTTTTCTGGATTTGCTTCCTAGCTTGCTTCGAGTGCTTGTCTACTTTGCACGTTCGCTTGCTTTACCAACTGCATAATCGTGTTAATCCTTGATTACCTAGTGACACTCGGGGACGAGAGGCGGCCGTACCATCTCTTCTCTGCGAGTGCCACTAACAAATTTCCTTGCATCATCCAGGTTATCAACGCAACTAAGATTCCAGGTCCCAAAGGACCGCCAGGATTCAATGGTACCCAGGGTCCTCCTGGACCTCCTGGACCTCCAGGATACAATGGTACCCAGGGCCTTCCTAGACCTCCAGGATCTCCAGGATATAATGGTAACCAGGGCCTTCCCGGACTTCCAGGATACAATGGTACCCAGGGCCTTCCTGGACCTCCTGGACCACCAGGATACAATGGTAGCCAGGGCCTTCCTGGACCTCCTGGACCACCAGGATACAATGGCAACCAGGGCCTTCCTGGATCTCCTGGACCTCTTGGGCCACCAGGATACAACGGCACTCAGGGTCCTCTTGGACCTCCAGGACCACCAGGATACAATGGTACCCAGGGCCTTCTAGGATCTCCTGGATCACCAGGTCCTCAGGGACCTCCCGGACCACCTGGCTCTAGCAATCTGACACTTTGTTCTTACGAAAAAGAAACCAGCGCTGGCAAAACCCCGGATACATATGCAACCGCAGTCGTCGAAAAAACTGAATTAAATGTAGGTTTAAAAGTAATTATAGTAAAGTCTGGCTTTTTCCTTATGAAACATGAAATTACGTAATATGTTAAATAAATTCTTTTGTTATTAACTTCATCGACTATATTTTATGTGTTGCAGGGTAAGAAGTTTCTTGGTGTTAACTGTGACTCGAATGACGCAAAATTTGCGACACTTTCGAGCAGCATATCTGGTGGTAAAAGAAAATACACGTGTACATGCAAGGGTACTCTGTCTAGTGGGGACTCCCAGATGTATTGTTACATTCACTACTGGGAGTGTCCAACATAACTAATCGTCAACTGACAGAGGAAGCAATTCCATCCAGGCGCGGTGGTAGCAGCTTCTCTTGATAAGTACCTTTTAAGTGACCAGCCACTGCAATGTGTTACACATAGTCGTAGCATTTGTAAAACCATAATTTATCCAAAACTGACAATCACGATCATTACGTGTCTAAGAATACTTATCTTATTAGATATACCGTGGTCCAATTTAGCTCTCTTGGCAGATGCTAGGTACAATCTGGTCTTTTTCTAATACATGCAAGGGTACCCTGGCTAGAGGGGACTCCCGTATGTATTGTTACATTTACTACTGGGAGTGTCCAACTTAAAACAGAGGAGAAATATGAATCATAATGTTGTACTCGTTCATTGACAAAGACTTAAAAAGGCCAACTTGAAATCACTAGAGGCACTGTGACTACCTCTCCCACAGTGTAGGTTGCAAACTGAATACGTCATTGAATGATTGCTCCTGTGACGTTTAAAGAGCACTTTTCAATTAAGTGTCGAAAGTAATTAAGCAATTACTTTGGTTTTGGTTTAACTAAGCTTTGAGATTTGTTGAGTAGTCTAATTGGAAAATAACTGGTTTGGGTTTGGTTTCAATAGCCCTTTCACGGTTAACTTTTCTCATTTGCTTTACAACATAATCTGGCATGCGTGTAAGGCAATTTCGAGGGTTTTTGTATTTTCAGCTCGACATTGCGGTCTCGCATTCACATTGGATTACATTGTAATGCAATTGAGAAAACCTAACCGTGAAAAGAGCTATTGAAAACCGCTCTTCTGAAAATTTTCAATCTGTAACATGATATGCGACATTTATCGCATCCAGCTTATAATTACTTTACCTTGTTTAACAAACCTTCCAAGGGTTAAGAAAAATATGATTAAATATCATTTATTAAAAAGTGCGAACACGAGGCTAAAAATTTAAATCATGTATATGAACGACTGAGATGGCCTCTGCTGTAAGCCTAGTGGTTTTTTAGATCTCCACGCCCTATCAAAGTATTTTTACTGTACATTGAAATTTTATTGTGGCAAATGATTAAACATGATGATGATGATGACGACGATAACATTACGATGACGGTGGTGGCTTTGGTGGTGGTGGTGGTGGTGGTAGTGGTGGTGGTGGTATTTTAATTGAATATTTTAAAAATATTGGTTTTGGAAAACGGTTAGGGCTATATATAGACTTACGTAGTAATGTAATGAAGCAGTAGAAATAAACTGGTTACGACAACAACCGGTGACATGCTTTGAGTTATTGAGTAACGTTAAGAGAGGAAGTGAATAGCAGCAGGGAGTGCTGTTTAAAAGTTCACTAACAGGTGGTTTGAAAAATTTTGATTGCGAAATAGCGGCCAGTGAGTACCTCGAACTTTACACTCAATTTCTCACTCAATGCCAAGGTCCAAAAGCAGATATTATCAGATATTACTCCTGCAGTATGCATTGTGACCCAGGTGTAGACTGTATGAAACTGTGAATTTCATGCTTAAACATGAATTGAGATGGAAAGTAAGCGTATTAATTTACTATTCTCTTGCTAAAGCTAACTGGAGTTTAGTAAGTCACCATCCTTATTAGAATTTTTAAGTAGTTATGGTCGTTAAGGACTAACAATTAACCCAAAGGCCAATCCTTGTTTTTGCCAATACCGTTATAAAGAATTATTGCAGGTTGAATAATGTGATACGGCAGG